CGTCAATAAAAGTAAATGCGTAAGTAATTTACGCATTTACTCGTAAATACTTATAAGTAAATGCTCATAGGAAAATACCTGTGTTTTAACAGCATTTTTTATAGGTCCACAGTTTTAATAAAATTTTTAAAATTTTTAGATCCAGCAACTATTATTGTTGAATTGACTGTTGCTCATGGCCAGATTAAAAGTAAAACATAATATTCTCATTTTTAATCCGAATTAGATCCAACCAGGATAGTTAATTTATGGATGACAACTATGTTGTTGCATTTCCATAGCTAATAACGTCAGATTGTCAATTTTCACAATTCCGTCCTCCAATATTTAGCAAATTGCTTTGAAGTAAAACATTAATATAATACTATAGCTTCAAACAGATAATGTTTGTACAGTAGTTTGATTTTAATTGAATATCATTTTATAAGGGTTTCAATGACTAAAATACCCTTATTTACAACTGAATATAAGTGAGTGACACCAAGATATACCAAAACCTTACAATAACATAACCTGAATCAACTAGGATATCCTATTATAAATGCAAACCTGTATTTTTACTCAAAATTACACTTAAGTAACTTACTATTTACTCAAATTAAAGGTTTAGGATTACCAAGTATATATAAATATTTGGTTAGTTAGCTTTTGGTTAGTTAGCTACTTACAAATTATATTTATAATTAAACTTATTTGGTACTATACAGAAAAGTTTATCAAATTGCGAATGATATATTGACAAGTTTCTATGTGTAGTTTCCTTATAGGTAATTTGATTTACTTACTACAATAAAATACATAGGCTTAGCTGGAACTTTGTTAAGTGGGTCTTCTTGGAACTATTTTATCTCTTAGATCAAAGGATGTGTAACAAATTGGTTTTGTTGAATTTCCTCGTGTGCTGCGAATAACTTATTATTGTTCGTCGAACATTTATTTAATATTTCAACCCTAACGTGTGTTTCCCTTACTCTCTGTAACACAATAAACGGTATTAGCAATCTGACACATACTTTCTCTCGTTAGCTTGTCAACAATCATAGGTGAGCGGTGGGAGTAACTATGATATTTAATAGGGAAAATCACAAAAGTTGCAACAAGTGTTGAACCGTAATTCTTCCAGCGTTGGGGTTGTAATTTTGTTAGGAATCAAGCGGACTATAATATTATAGTTGTTATAATATTAATTGGGCGTTCGAGACATTTTCGTGAAAATCTGTTTTTAAAATTATTTATGGGTAAATCACAAAAAGAATACTTTTTGTGTTAAACATTTACTTTTAAACTGGACGAAAGGATTCCTTAAAATTGCCAGATGATCCTTAAGAATGCAATTTATTTCATAGTTTTGGGGCGAATTTTACTATCCTTACCGTGGTTAAAAATACCTAAAAATTAAAAATAATGAGAGTAGTTTAACTTTTTTATTTGGTGTATTTTAATGTCATTTGTATTTTTTTAAAGATTTTTTCAATGGGGCAGTCATTGATTTTAAAGTAATATCGATACCTTAGTTGTTGGAAATGTGCCAAGTTCTAGATCGATTCGAATATCTAAATCTAAACAAATTATTATTATATTTTTTTACACTAGTTACACTTTGAGTCTACTTCATATGTTTTCAACTTAGCTCTGTCGTAAATTATAAAAGAGAAGCCCAAGCTTATGAACAAATCCAATTTTATTTTAGAATAGATTATTTTCAGGTAATATAACTTTAAAAATTTGCAAACAAACCAACAATGTTGATTATCAACAAATGTATTTTTGTAGAGATTTCTCCTTAATAAACCAAAACACAAACAATAAACATACAACAAATGGTAATGCAAACTAGCTAATTTCCTTTCAAAAGTAATTTTTCTGAAAACAACTCAAGATATAACTCAGTATTATTTTCTTGACTCGTAAATATTATCAAATAATTATGCAGCGGTGATTTGATAAAGTTTTCCTTCTTTAGTCAAGGAATTCAAACACCTCTAATAATTAAACGTGCTCGACAAGGGCATAGTCTGGTGTTTAGTTTCCAAGGTTAGGAACTCCTGAGATAATGAGCTCGCCAAGTTTATTTTACAGAACAGGATCCGTTATTTCTTTTTACCTTCGCTTTATCTTTGTATTATAACTACAATTTCATATTAGGAAAATGAGTACAAGCCACAGGTAAACTTAGCTTAAGATACAAAGCATTTAAACAAAATCGTGATGTTTATTCAAATATTTGTGGATAATAATTAGTTCAAAGATTTTGTAAAATAGTTCATAAACTGTTGAACAATTTTGTTTAAATATTATTTTGGGCGTAAGTCCTAATGATTTGCACTTACTTTTGGGTTAATCACCTTTAAGCATAACTTTTTTAATGTGTTGAAGGAGATACATGATTTTAAATAAATGTGAAAAGTCGCTGTTTAAAATATACAAACAACTTTAAAGTTATATTTAAAACTCATAATAATCATGTTCGTTATTGAGACCATAGTAATGAACGCATCCCCACAAAACTGCTAGATTTGGAGTGAAGGAAATAAAAGAACTTTTGGTTAAAAATCCGTTGCATCCATGAAAATTTACAGTTTGATGTGCATTACGGTGGGTTGACTGATCGACAGAATTTTTTTTCAAATTTCCATAATGTTACTGTGAATGGAGATCACTATAGAGCTATTAACAACTTCTTCCTTCCTCGATTAAATTACGATGTGAACAATATTAGGTTTCTCCATGATGTCGATACTTACCATTCAGCGATTGAAACGATAGCCTCGTTGCAAGAAACATTCGGTGATCGCATCATTTCATGTACCAATCAGCGATTGAAACAATAGCCTCATTGCAAGAAACATTCGGTGATCGCATCATTTCGTGTACCATTCAGCGATTGAAACAATAGCCTCACTGCAAGAAACATTCGGTGATCGCATCATTTCATGTACCAATCAGCGATTGAAACAATAGCCTCATTGCAAGAAACATTCGGTGATCGCATCATTTCGTTTAATGGATCTGTGAACTGGATTCCAAGATTATGCAATCTATCATGTGACCAATGCACTATTTATTTTTTACAAAATTGTGTTTAATGACACTGGTGTCTAATCATTTTGTGTAGTTTTGTTGTAAATTTTGCTTAAATTTTTAACGCTTTTGCTATTACAGTACTGTTATTGCTATGGGCAATGGACCGACGAGTGCGGTGTTGCCAAAATGTTGGACAAAGCCATGTAGTAGGGAAGACTATATTTTTACTCGCCTGACCTTAAAATCTTACTTAAAAACTTACTCAGTTAACAGAATTTAACAGAAGTTAACAGAATCAAATTTAGCTTTTGAGTGCTATGCGATCCATATTTCAAGTGCCAATGAGTTAAGCATTTTATACCTTAAAAATTGAAATAAAATTTTCTTTCTGAGGTTTAAAATAATAACACTATAGGTGTGCTTTGTTAGAACCTTTAAAACATGGTAAAGCTTTAAACAATTTCACTTAAAATATTTTTGGCAGAATATTTCCACTACAAAATATTTGAAATATGAGTTTTTAAGTAAGTATACTTAAAATATATTGGATTGAGTAAGATGATAAATTGATTTTATTTTATTTGACGGTAGTCAACCTGTTATCAGAAAATCATATAATCTAAGTTGAATTTGTTAACGTCAAATAACAATTTACAATAATTTTCCAAACTGAAAAATAAATAATGTTTCATCAAAATAAATACGACAGACAATAAGCAGAACGCTGAAGTGGTTTTAAAGCCATGTAAACATTCGTGTTCATTAGTGTGTTTTGAAAAATTACATTTGCCACGTGTATTATAAGAATATTTGTTTTCCCCGAATATTTTATATTTAATCCCCGCGTATTTTGAAGTGAATAATGAAAGCGTTGTCAATCAATTTTGCAAATACATTACAAATATATTAATCATTGATTTAATATTATATTTCATCACTAGGGTTAAAGAGAATCTTCTTTTCGAACGAGTTCAAGTTTAACCACCAAAGAAAAGCCCAGTTTTGTGAATATACAGATTTGATAGTGTTCATCACACTTTGGCCCATGTTATGAACTATATTTTCATCAAGATGTTTTCATTCTTTAAGATAACGAATTAAACGAAAATATTGGATATTGTTTATATTATAAGTAAGCCTCTTAAACTGCTTCATCATTTCGTTGTGTTTGAATAGACAAACAAACCTTAACCACGTTTCAATTATTGGGCCCGTGTTTTTAGTTGAGTGGGATGTATTTAATCCACGACCTTGATCTGAAATTTAAGTTCAAATTATTTGTTTTATGTTTTTACATTAAAATTGCTTTTTCCTATAGTTACCTGAAAAACTGGACTTCCTTGCACTGATAATAGCACGCCAAGTAGCTAATTGATGCATTAAATTACTTTTTGCCCCTGTCGTCAAACTTGAGCTCGTATTGAAAAGAGTAACTTTACGCCCTTGTGATGAAATATACAATTTTCAACGTCAAAACCAAATTGTAATCAGAAATATTTCTTTGGTAATCAACCCCAGCTGATGCTAATTACCTTAGGGATAAAATAACTATTTACCATCCCAACATGTATTTCAAACAGCTGTTTCAATGTCGTATAAAGGGAACTAAGTTTTATGAGGGCGCTATGGGTTAATAAACAACACACTGATTAACGTATAAATATAAATTTATTTAAACTGTAACAATAGTAAGGTATACATGATAGTTGTGTACACATCTTGGTACTCGTTTCTGTTTCACATTCATTTTCCAGTATTGTAAGCAATTAATAAAAATAAATAAAATTATGTTGAGTTATAGGCAAACTTACGATATCTTTTAAATAATGATCACCTGTTTTTGTTTTCGTTGTTATCAAAATGTTGGTTCTGTTGCATCATTGTTTTTTTCTATCATTTTATTCACCGCCATTTTCAGAGTAATTTATAGTAAAAGAACGTATGAAAAAGTAATGTTATACTAATTTATTTATATATATTTTAGCGAAAGGTATTTTTGGCCTTCTGGGGACCTCTAAACGAACAAAATAAATCGGTCCCGGGTCCAGGTCCTGCCTTGAGACCTAAGGTAATACTGTAGCTTATTCCTTATACTGTATGAGCATTTCGCTTAAAGTATAAAATTAGTGATGAATAATCAGAAAAAGACCAAAATAATTAGCTGTAGTAGATTGTCTTAATCCCAGAAGAATACAGAGCTGACGAAAATGAACATGAAACAGAACAATGTATGGATTATTTGAAGACAACTTATTTTATCATTAAGGTTAATGAGAAAACGAGTCATCGTCCAAATAGTCCATTCTTAGGTAACACATTGATACTAAATTATGGTTGTTACATTAAATATATTATCAACATCATTGGTGTCTACGTTGTACATTGAGAAAGAAACTTTACATTTATAGCTACATTTGTAATAAATTACGATTGATTTTGCAGTTAACAGTAAAATTGATTACAAGTCTTGCTTTGGTTAGAATCCTAACATTCATTCAAATTCAAATTTGTTTGAAAATAGTTTTTATTAGGTGGGATGCTTGACAACCCTTTGGCATTTGAACAGGATAAATATTTATAAAAGTACATCTTGTTGTTGTTTTTCGTAATATTTTGTTGAATTGATAAAGCCATAAATTTAGGGGTTTGCATATATATTGTTTAATAGTTTGAACTTCTCAACTACTTAGGTAGAGTATGAAGAATAATATGTTCTAGAATACATAGTGAAAAGTTCCAAAGTTTTCCTTTAGAATTGACTTAACAAGTACCTGTTTTAAGGATAATAGTAAAATAATTTTCATCACTGCCATGTCGAACTTTGAAGTTTCATTCCAAGCATGGTTTGGAGCGTTTTAGTCGTGTGTTGATTCTGAAGTTATCTGAAGTTACTTATGTAAAACTAATTTTTGAGCAATAGCATGAAGAAATTCAAGTATTTCATTGTCCATACAGAATCTTTAGATCCCAAATCAAACGAACTCGTGGGTAGTATTTATAAAAAAGTATATATTTAAATCTCATAGATAGACATAAAATCTTCGATTTCGGGACCGAATAAATGCTTTATAAACATAATGGATCCAACTTTTAAAACACAATGCTCTCGTAAATACTGTATAATGGTTAATTAACTAAATTAAACAACTTTGGGTAGTTATGCATTCATTTCAAGCATTGTTTAAAACGCCTTTGATTACAGTGCTTTTCATTACACCGTGTAATTGACAAAATCGTTAATCACAATCATCAAACTCCAATACTACTGTATTGTAGATTTTTAGGAAGTAACTTGCTTCTAAATCTTATCATTTCAGAACTTTGAAAGTATTATTTCTGTCCTCATTATTGGCTTTCCGGATTATTCAAGTAAGAAAAGACAACAAAACAAACCAAGATTCTTACGAGCAAAATACCTTGACTATAAAAGTGTTTTTTTTTTCAAAATTCCTGTCAATGTTAAAATATCAACTCAAAATAGGCTTTCAATTAAATAATCATGTTGAGAGAAAACAAGCTAAACAACAATTGTGTGGCATATATTTGGAAAAACAACCTAAACTTGAACTTGATTGATCTATGATTTCCACTTCTATATAGTTTAATGGGCCATTTAAACAACTATTACAATCTATAAAAATACATTCCTCAATCACAGCCACTTACAAAATCCACTGTTGTTACATATACAAAGCCAGTTTCTTATTTAATGTTGTTATATTTTATAATAATAAATTTGTCAACCGCAAACTATTGCACAAACACCTCCGTAACGATTTAAAATCCTCAACAGCGTATCAAATATTTAAAGCTAACAAGCGTAAAACACATTTTTCGATTTATGAATATATCAGCTAAAAATGTCACTCTTTGTGTATACCAAAACAGCTAAATTTACATTTATTTACGGGTTTTACAAACCGAAAATATTTGGAACTGCACATACAAATGGTTTTCCACAACAAAACATTGAACATTATATAAAATACTTATGTTAACCATATACTACATGTATATACATCTGGGAAAGGATGAGTTGGTTAGGCCACCGAGCATGAGTTGCGTTTGAGCATGTATTTACTTTTGGCCGAGTTGGAACCGTTGTTGCCAACGTAATTGGGAAGCGATTGTCTCCTCCTTTTCACAGCGGGGCTGAGATTGTAGTGAATCTGTAAAATAACAACAGTAAATTAACAACATGTAACAACAGGAAAGAATATGAATGTAAAACAGAAAGAGTGTGATAAACATCTGAAGGTAGGATTGGATTACAAGGATAGACGTGAATGGAAAAATGGGAAAGAGGTTCTAGCGGAATTTTGGATGGAGAAATTATATGTTTTAAGTGCTATAAAAATAGAAAGGTAGGATAGAATTGGGAATAAATAGGAGATAAAAAGAGAGGCAGTTGACGACATTTTAAAAGGAAGGGGTTTTACCTGATGCCAGACTAAGATTGTTTGGACATGTGAGAAGAAAGCGAGAAGGGAAAATTCTATGGAGGTTAAATATATGAAGGTTGGAATAATGAGAACAAAAGAAAACACTAGAAGAAGGTTGATAGATAAGAGATGATGTAAAGAAAAGAGTTGGATATTAGGTTTCAAGAAGACCGGAACGGATTAGGATTTTTATGCACGTAATGCAGATAAGGCCCTTGTTTGGAAGAAGAACATTAAAAAAGTCAATGGTGGAAGAAATATGATATGAAGTAGGAGGAAATCAATCAGATATAAAGGTACCATAAAGATTTTTTGAATACATTTATAGTGGAGCAAGATACTGTGAAGTATGTGGTTAAGCACGTTAACACTATAATCAAAATGAATAAACTTCTAAGATATTGAACACAAAACATTTTAATTTGTAGTTTTTAATTCATTTAGTTGGAGGTTTGGTAGAATAAATAAATTAACCCGTAAAATATCAAAGCATGAAGTTAATGAAAACCCGTATTCTACCGTTATTGTTTCAAATCCCCCAAACAATTAAAATAATTACGAAACAGCCCATCAAAAATTGCACCATGAACACAAAGACAAATATTCGTCTGCCAGTCCATATTTGAGCCCCCAATTATTTCCCACCATACCTTGGCTTGTACCAGGAGCTCCTTGAAGACCTGGACGATGTTCTGATTCTCCTTGGCTGAGCATTCTACATAACCACACTCCCAGTCGTACACTGCCACAGCTTCCGCCTGCTCACGGGAGATCACCCTGTCAGCCAGCTCCGACTTGTTCCCGACCACCACGATGGGCACCATGGGTCCTCTTCGCTCCACGATCTGTACAGCAAGAGGATGTGATAGAATTGTCTGTGGTGCTGAATGGACATAATGCACCCAGGAAATCACCCTATCAGCCAGCACCAACTTGTTCCAGACCACCACGATGGGCACCATGGGTCCTCGTCGCTCCACGATCTGTAGAGCAAGAGGATGTGATAGAATTGTCTCTGGTGCTGAGTGGACATAATGCTTCCAGGAGATCACTCTGTCATGGATGGAATAAATTCTGCACTCACATACTAATTACTTTTCTTTTGCTATTAAATAAATGGTAATATTCTATCAATAGGTTAATGAAGATAAGACCATAGTTTGAACATTGGACAGCTTAGTTAAAAATAGTAGTTTACACAACAATCGCGTAGAGATATCCTTTAAGACACGAGTAGAAAAGTTAAGGTACGAGGTACGAGCCTTTAATACCAAAGGCGAGTGTCTTTAGAACTTCTACGAGTGTCAGGCTACCTACGATCGTTTTTAATTACTAACAAGTTTATAGCCTCTCATTGCCACTGATTTTGACGCAACGACTCATTGTCCCATCCATTTAATCAATTTAATAGGCCTCAACAGCTGATGAGTTGATGTTGGAAGTATTACAATTTTACTTCTTTTTCTCAATCCTTAAACCTCGCTGGTCCAAACATGTACTGTAAAGTAACAGTAAGTAAGTAAACAAGAAGGTGAATCTTTTCAATTCTAAGAACTGAATTGAAAAGGCTAGTTTAAAAAAATGGTCGTAGGTAAATAATCTAAAATTGCAATTGGTGTAGAAAACCAGGTACAAAACACCAAATGAATTCAGTGTAAATCTCCTGGTCAGATTCAACGTAATGTATCATATATGTTCTACGATAGTCGACTCCTTCTTAGTATCCAGGGAGTCAAGCCTTTGAAGTTCCGCCTCAGTTGAGTTTTGCACTCCAGTCAATCCCCCTGAGAAATATGTATGACGAGTCAAAGGGTGTCGTAATAGTAGTAACCTAAAGATTTAGATGGAGTCTAGTACAGTATGAGATTCTAGATGGATCACGCTAAGTGTGTAAAGTGTAGGACGTTTTATAGCTACTCTAAAAAATCTAGAATGATACTTCAATAAACGACCTTTATTTTGGGGATTAAGTTCATAGAGATCTACAATTTTAGTTTTCGCATTTTGTTTTTTGTTTCAATTTTTAAGTAAAATATTCTAAATCAATATTTTGCATCTTAACAAAAGATGTATATCTAGTAAGATGAAGATATGTACAAATAAAAAACTTCTATGCAAGAAAACACACTGTGTTCTATTCAAAAACACTATGTCAACTTGATTCTGCAATGACCTAGTAGTATATCCATCTCCAAAAGAAATCAGTGTAAGAAAACATTAAGGACCTAAGTTTAGGATTTTTGTTAGTTCAGTAGTTTTTTCATCGACATACGAGTTATTTAACTCCGAGAAGGCAACTTAATACTAATATTGCTCAGGAAAACACTAAGCCTTCTCACTAAAAGGTGACCTCTTTAATCACTCAGCTAAGCAGCTGCTTAGATTGAATAACAAATTACAATTTTACTGGTACCCTATATAAGATTACTTATTTAATCTTTCCAGCTTGATGTATAATTAGAGTTAAATTACAGCAAATTCTGAGATAGGGGTTTCCTGACCTGGTCTTTGAGTTTCTTGACCTCCTCCCAGCTGTCCTCGTCGTCGACGGAGTACACCAGGATGAAGGCGTCAGCTGTGTTGACGGAGAGCGCCCTCATGGCGGGGAACTGGTAGGCGCCTGAGGTGTCCAGGATGTCCAGGGTCAAACAGGCTCCGTCCTGGAGCTCGTACTCTCCTGGAGAGTATAATTGCAGAGTTAATAGTTATTCCAGGAGCTCGTACTCTTGACTATCTTGTAGAGAGAAGATAAACAATTGAAACTGCTCCATCTTGAAGCTTACCACATTTCGCCTTCTCTTCACTGCATTCACCACTGCATGGGCTGAGTCCATGTGACTAAAACCGTAACAATACTTTGTTGTATTTATATCATCCCCAGATCAGAAGTATTATGACTGCCATTCGATGTAAAACATGGCTATTAGCAGTTTTGATTTGGTATTCCTACAACTTATTTTGGAGGTAACAAGACCACGAGAGAAAATCTACTACACCGACTAAGCATTTCCCTTATTGGTTTCTTTCGCCTTCTCGCTATCTGGATATAGTGAACCATCGCCCTTTATAAGTGTTATCAGATTATTACATAGCCCAGATAAAACAGAACTAACTTGGATTGGAGAGCTAGACTTTCCAAATATGTTTTTACTATATTTTAATTAATTGATACAGGTTAGAGGATACAAAAGTTTGACAAACCTCTGTGAAGTTCTTCAACTGTTTCTCGATAGCGGGTGAGGAACCTGTCGTAGAGGAACTGTGAGATGATCGAGCTCTTGCCTACCCTTGCTGAGCCCATGACGACGACTCTGCGATGTTCCTTACTGGCTGCACAGCTGGCTCCACTACTGGTGCTCTCTGTACCCAGCGATGGTAACCTCAGCCTCTCACAGTGGCCCGGCATATCCTAGGACAAGACAAAGGAAATGTGAGAGTGTGGAGCTATTGCCTACCCTTGCTGAGCCCATGACGACGACTCTGCGGTGTTCCTTACTGGCTGCACAGCTGGCTCCACTACTGGTGCTCTCTGTACCCAGCGATGGTAACCTCAGCCTCTCACAGTGGCCCGGCATATCCTAGGACAAGACAAGAGAACTGTGAGATGATGGAGCTCTTGCCTACCCTTGCTGAGCCCATTACGGTGATTCTGCAATGTTCCTTTCTGGCTCCACAGCTGGCTCCACTACTGGTGCTCTCTGTACCCAGCGAAGGTAGCCTCAGCCTCTCACAGTGGCCCGGCATATCCTAGGACAAGACAAGGGAACTGTGAGATGATGGAGCTCTTGCCTATACCCTTGCTGAGCCCATGACGACGACTCTGCGATGTTCCTTAAATGGTATTCTTAAGTTGCACTTTCTACAATTGAAATTTAGGCCTTGAGGTAAAGTAATTGTGGAATAGTATATTTCATCACTAGGGCGTGAAATGATTATTTTCGACACGTGCTCAAGTTGGCAAAACCATGGTCTGAAATTGAGCGAGAGTTGAAAGGACACTTTTTGCCCGTGCGATGAACAATATTTTTCGTCATATAGCACTAGGTTACAAAACGGAAATACTTTTCATTATAAAGACCAGCTCACAAAATGACTTTCATTTTGTTTTCAATTTTGTTATTGTAAACAAGCAGCTGTTTAGTAAGATAATGAACTATTTCACTTATTACAATTATTGCAGTTTTTTCTAGTGGGACCTTGTTTGGACTCGCAACGCATGTATTGAAACCAGCGAACACATAACAAAATAGAACCGCTACTCGGAGCGCAGGAGCGTGGCAGTCTTACTAGCCGGCGAAACGGACAAAGATGGCGGCGCTAGCCTACCTGTCGGGGAAATAAATATGTGCGCTCGAGTTTGAGCCTAAATATCTCAGAGATGAATAATCTAATTTTGTTGAAACAAAAATTAAATATAAGCTGGTTTAAATACATTTTACGTGGTAGCAATAAAAAAAATCCGTTTACCAGAAGAATTTATATTGTTGAAAGATTCTAAAAAGTACCGGGTTTTAAGAAACTGAAGTTTAAAATTTAATTGTAAACAAACCACTGAGCCAATCGGCCTGCCAGTTGCGGGAGAAATTTTTCTTACAAATATATATCTGTTAAAAAAACACCTTTGTTCGCATTATAAATCTGTCATATTGGTGTTATTTCTTGTGTCACGACAAACACGATGGTATTTTGAACGAACTGTTTAGCGTCTTATTAACGATGTTAGCATACGTTTTAAAAATAAACATCAGCATAAAAACTATCGTGAGTAAAATGCATTGAACTGTTAACAATAAATCTACTAATAAGCCATACAAATTTAAGAAAGATTGGCTTAGTGGTTTGTTTACAATTATGTTTTAAACTTCAGTGTTAGTGCAGAGTTTCTTAAAAACCGGTACTTTTTAGAATCTTTCAACTATAAATTTTTTTCTGGTAAACGGAAATTTTTTTAATTGTTACCACGTAAAATATATTTAAACCAGTTTCTATTTAATTTTTGTACAACAAAATCGGATAATTAATCTCAAGAGATATTTAGGCTCAAACTCAAGCACATATTTATTTCCCCGACAGTAGTCCCGGCGAGTGCAGCGCGCTAGTCGTCTGCAATGCATGATGAGAAACTGTAGATATAAAAGTTAATGATATTAGTGTAGAGAACAATGTAATTGAGGACTTGAAGAACAAAGTACTTGGACAATGTGTAGGAGTAAATTTGTTTCCAAATAGTACATATTTCTCAAAATATGAAACAATATTTACAAAAATCATTTTTGTTTAGTACCTAATTAAAATTATTGCTCAAAAATGTTTCAATGTTAGAGTTCGCTATTACTGTAAAATAAGTAACGACAGTCTTGACAAAAATAAAATCAGGCAACATCTCAATAAAACTGTAATTTTTCTGGGACAATAAATTGAGTGTAATTTTACAAATATATTTGGGAAGTTTAATTTAACTTACAGAATTATCTTTAGTTTATCTTGAAAGCTATGTCCTTAAAAAGTTGTGCTAAACGGTTGAAAATTCTACATAGACAATATTTTTGAAAATTTCTTTAATATATACAATATTACAGTACAACAGTATAAAACATTAAAACACTGCACGCTAAATGTATAGACGACGGCCCGGCGGCGCAGCGGGCGTGGCACGGAACAGCGGCAATGGATCCCTTTTGTACCTGATTTTTTAGAAAACCGAATATGATAAAAAATTTTGGTGAATCGGATAGTTAAATTTGGTTATTTATCCACAACTTTCCCGCTGACGAAATTTCTCTGACCAAAAAATAAAAAATTTCCTCGCAATACAACTTTTTCATGTCTGAATCTGAAAAATTTAACTACATAAGTATTAAACATATTTATAACTCAATTACTATCATAACAAATAATTTTATATTAACACCATCGTTTTCCTCAGTATCATATCTACAAGTGTGCAAAATTTCAGAATTTTTTGTCAACTATTAATGTTGTTTATGATCGTGTATTTGTCGCGGGGTTTTTAATGCGAACTGTGCTCGCGGGTCTTGGATTCAGGCTGTATGACGGACCAAGATGGCGGATTTGGCCACAATTTCAGTGCATTTGGTTAAACGCCGTGTCCTCTCTATTATTATTATTATTATGTGCTCGCTGATTGAAACAGTTGTTGCTGCAGTATAAAAAAATAAATTTATTTTACTCAGTAGTAAAAGCTTTTAGAGATTTCGTGAATAGAAAAGACCGTATTGCATGTAGGTTATAGATCATTAGCTTTGAGTTGAGTTCTTTAGAAATCCGCAAAGCTTTAGAGACTTTTCTGTACAACGAAATACTTTACATCATTGGTTTAATCCTGTAAGTTTGATGCTATTAAAGCACGATCAACTTTTATTGTTCTTGTCAGCTTCTTGTGCTGGTTAACTCGGTTTAGTTTGACTAACTTTAGACAGATAATTACCATACTTCAAGGCTGCAAAACTAGGTCTCGTCTAATCTTAACTTATTGTCATAAGTACTCAAAGCTGAGTGAAGATTTTTAACTAATTATTTCTTCTGTTTTCATCCTTTTTGTAGATTATTTGATGGGTTTACTGACTGTATTATTTATACAACTTTGACTTTTTGGTACTGAATTAAATATCCCATCTTTATGGACCCCATATACATGTAGCCCTATTCATTCTAAATATTTATATGAATGGGCATGTATAATTCATATGTAGCTAATTTAAATTAAAAAGAACATAGCTAAAATAGGGCCTCAACTAAGTTTATTGTAACTGTTAACCTCAAATCTCAAGTGATATTTAAATTTGTCAAACCTGTTAAAAGGACGCATCAATGTAACAGAAACAGACCCTTTGATTTCGAGCTAGGCCTTTATTTCGACGTCCTTTAGAAACAGAGCATACAAAACTGGAAACTCAACTCCCAATTCAGTGAATCGCTAAACTATTCAACTTCAATTATCATTCTTAATGACGTGTTCTTGATCTTCAATTTTATATTAGCCAGGAACTTTAATTTGTTTCGGTGAAGATTTGAAAAATTGTAAATTAAAAGACTCTCTCGTATTAAGCATGATTTTTCTTTAGTTAATAACCAAGCAATTTCAGTAAGACTACCAAAATAATGACGTAATAAAATAAGACGTAGCTTTTAATATGAAAAAGTTACAAAAAAAAAACTTAATCTTCTTCTCCAAGATTGAGGTATTGCGTTTTTATCGTGTAAAGTAATATTAAACTACTTTATAATATTGTTGCAACTGACTTACAGATCTATAGACACATTTACTGTAATCATTTTGTTAATTCAATACCTCATCTAATCTAAGAAGATCGCTGGTTCAGTCCTAAGACGAAACAGAAGCTTTTGATAGTTCGAACCTTGATTCTGATACCCTAACATAAACCATAGAAACATACTCCGATCTTTATGGAACAGTTGAAGCCAATTTTATCGTTAGTTCTGTCCGGTGCACTGTAAAGGTCATGTTTTGTTTACAATTTTTTTCTTGGTATTTCAGTCATTGAAAACCTCGTTTAACCAATAAAACGACCTTAACATATAACTCGTCCCCAAGTTATATAACCAAACTGTAAAGCACAAATAATTAAATTAGCCCAAAAATAATAGAAACAAAAATTCGTCGACACTAGCGATCAGTGTCACCGGACATGAACAAGACACGAAAAACGAGCTTTTACATTTTCAATGAGATGGGAAGTCACTTGTGTTGGTTAGTATATTCCTAAACCCTGGTTCTAGCTCTCCTTTATCTTCATTGGCTTAAAAACAGCTGATCATAGTCAATAATTAATCTTAACCCATTCGATGCAACAACTTGTTACTATTTCGAGGAAAATCCACTGATAACTGACCATTTATTCGACATTCGTTATTTTAGCACACATGTATAAGATTCCATTTACCCTTTCGTTGTTTTTGCACCTCAAATCTACAAATTTATTTTACAGCTCACTGTTCGAAACAGATTATAATCGGTGTCAAAGAAAACTTCGCTATAGTTTCAACAATTTCGACTTAATTGAAATGTCAAATGCACTCGCTGATCGTTGTACTTTTGGTGAGTGTACAAACTACAGCCTGAAGCAGAAAAAGAATATGTTTCATTGATGCCTTTGTGTTGCTTTTAATTTTAGTGTGAAATTTGTTTGATACTTTTTAAGAGACAATAAAAATGCGTCAAAAAACGTCAGAATATACTTTTTTATAATTTAAATAATTTAAGTACATACCTACGTACCCAATAACATTCACTTAAATAGTTGAGGCGATTAGTTTAAAAAAAATGGTACTACATAGTTCCAAAAATATTATAGAACTGAAGTTTATACAATCCTACCTAAGGTTTTATTGGTTAAAAAATAATGAAAGTATTTACTCTGAATT